TTCTAACTGCAGGATCATTGTGGGAGTGGAAAGGTATTCTGAATCGGAACTTGGGTTTTTTCCTGGATATGATGACATTTTTTATGGCTCTTGCACATTATTTGCATATTTGGTGGCTTCATGGCATGGCTTTTCATCTTGTTGATGCTGTCCTTTTCCTAAATATACGTGTAAATATCTCTCTCCTTTTACTGCAATGATCCAATTCTTTTAATTTGTAGATATTATTGCTGTCATCAATGTTATACTGTTGGTTGAAATCCTCCTTTTTTAATGTGTTGAACTCATTATTAGGCATTGTTAAGTGCAATTGTAAAACGCATAAAGGGTTTCGTTAAACTGAGGATGGCATTGGGCACTCTTCATGAGGCACTTCCAGATGCAACATTAGATGAGCTAAGAGCTTATGATGATGAATGTGCTATTTGTCGGGTATTTTACCACTCCCTTCTCTCTCTTATGTGAGGGAATTTAGTTTTTCCTCTTTCTTATTTTTATAATAACTCTTCCAAGTGTCTGATTTGGGAATAGGAACCTATGGCGAAGGCTAAGAAGCTATCTTGCAGTCATCTTTTCCATCTTGCATGCTTGAGATCTTGGTAAGTTCCAAATCAATTGCCTGGAGTTGCTTTCTGTGGTTAGTTGATAGTATGTTGAGTGTTATGCTGACTCTGTGCTAATGCCAGGCTAGATCAAGGCTTAAGTGAGAATTATTCATGTCCTACTTGTCGAAAGCCCCTTTTTATGGGAAGATCTGAACATGAGGCAAACTCTCATGCTTCAGAAATTTCAAGTGATGAGCAGCTTGCACGTCAAATTAGTGCTGGACTTCATAGGCCCAATCTTCCTGGTCACGGCCAGTCTACGGGAATCTTTCCTAACCAGACTCAAAATCCATTAGAAGCTGGTGACTGGAGGTCTGGTTTTTCATATTTAACATGTTTAGTATTTTTCTATCATGGTATAAGAGGGAAATGGTGAAATGAGTACTTTTGGCGGCATAGATAGAAACTAGAAACTACTAGTGGGGAAGACTGCTGCCTAAGGAGCCTTTACAGTGAGCTAGCATTGAGTTGAATTTTGTTGTTAGATAATGAGACAAATGTTTGTTCATTCCGGATCTTGCTGCAAGTTATAATTTACTTGCTATATTGTTTACTGCACTGACATCAATATCATGTTCACATCTAGCTGTCTACAAAACATAAGTTAATGAGACAAATATTGGTTCATTCCGGATCTTGCTGCAATTTGTAATTTACTCACTATATTGTTTACTGCACTGACATCAATATCATGTTCACATCTTGCCGTCTACAAAGCATTGCTGCTTGTGGCTTTAGGATCATTTCTTCACCTTTTAATGCTTCCTGTACTTGTCCAACAAAATGGTACTAGAATGTGATCAGTATCTTGAATTCTTGCCCAACTTGATGCATTCATCGCATCAGTTAGTTTCTTTCCATGTCCTATCCACCTTAATTTATATTGACCAATAAAACAAACTGCCGCTGATTTTTTTTCCTTTTATTTCAACATTTTCTTTATAGGGGCACTGCAATTGATTCAAGTTGGCTCAGGTTAGATGGAGCTGGTCCTTCTAGTGGTGTAAGATCCGTTGGATTGGGTCGAGTTCAGATGATGATGAGGCAGCTTGCAGCTGTTGGTGAAACCTATGCACATACTGCGCTTGAGGATGCTGCCTGGAGTCTTTGGCCTATGAATCCCTCTCAAGCTGGTACTTCCCGCTCACCTGTTCCTCCTGGTCCTACAAGGTATCCAGGAAGTGCAGGTGGTTTGCATATGAGGACCCCCTCACGAGCTTCAAACGACAACATAGCAGGCATGCTTGCCATGGCTGAGACTGTCCGGGAAGTTCTGCCGCACATTCCTGATGAAATAATTATTCAGGTATGCAAGGTGTTTCTTCTCCCTGTTCATTTTCAAAATTTTTTTCCCTTCAACTGAGTATGATTGGGAAGTAGGAATTTCTTTCGCTGGGATTCATATTCATTATCGTGTTCCCTCAAAATATTTAGCAGTTAGGTTTGTTTACTGGAATTACTGTGTAACATTGAACATCCAGTGGAGAAGAATGGTGCCATTGTTTTCTGAGTATAGGTCTTTTGAGTTGTCAAAAGGTGAATGAGGGGAAAAAGTGAAGCTAGGAGGTGCTGAATGAATTACCGTCTCGCACAGAGCTTTTCTAGTTTTTTGCTTGTGAGGCTTTCTTTTGAAATGTTTCTTGTGAACCATGTGTTTCTATTTTGACATGATGCCTGTGTCCAATTCTGCAATTAGTGGTGAAATGAAGATTTTCTTAGGGTCTATCTTGGTTGGTAAATCCAAAGAGTTTCTTCTTCTTCAGAATTTCCCCTCATCATTGTTGGCTCGCCAAATTGTTTCTTCTTCTTCTTCTTTGGTAATTTTATGAGGAAAGAGTGTTATACTTGATCCAGGTGATGCATTTCCTCACTTTCTGCCGCTTGGTTTCTTTGTGGTGGTCCGATGCCTCCTCTTAACCTCTCAATTATTTGGGGTACTAGTTCTTATGTCTGGATGGGCATCATTCTGGGTGCCTGGATGGTTGGACATTCTAAGATCACTTCCTTTATATGGCTTATTCATGCATGTAGGGGTCCATCTTCAAGGTCATCTAATGTGCTGCCTTAGTCATCCTCGGTCACCTGATGTTCTTTGAGTTGTTATGAAAAAACTGGCTGTACAGCATGCCTAATTTTTATGTTTCCTTGCTTTGCTGTTGCTCACCTCGACGTTTTGTGTTTTGGTGGTTTCTTAGCTGGCCGTATGGTGTTTTGGTTTTTGGTTAAAATCAAATTACCAGCATTCCTGCGCATGTTATGTGTACAAATATCTCCAGCAACCTCCTCCCTGGCTCCCTTATAGATTCCTGAAAATTAGAGAAAGGATAACATAAATTTGTTTTGCATAATTTTACCTCTTTTTGTTATAGTGCTGCATTGGTTTGAAGATGAAATTCCCTCGCCCTCTCTGCTGAAATTTTGCAGGATTTGCAGCGAACAAATTCCGCCACCATTACTGTGAATAATCTTTTGCAAATGTGAAAGTGTCAATTGGATTTTATCCTTTATCATGGGCGTTTCTGGTGGACGTGAGATGGGGGCTGTATTGCTTATAGGTTTGGATTACATTATTTCCCATTTCCTAAATCTTCGGCTGCTGGCTTTCGTCACATATGTGCTGTCTAACGTCCACAAGCTTGTCTTCGTGTACATAGATGTAGCCTATCAGTTTGCTTCTAGGAATAAATAGTAATTGGTTTGACTGTACCCGCTCAATCCGTTGGTTTGGCCTCCCGCATATGTTGTTGTAATTTTGTAATAATCTAATTTCTTTTTATGTTAACGTGCGTTTTGAAACTAAATAGGCTATAGGCTTCTTGGTTTTACTATCTCGTTTTCTGTCTCTGCTGCTTGTATATCCAAAGGGGATGAAGACGCGCACATATACATTTCAGATGTTTAACATCATGTCGGCACTGCCCCCTCGAGAGTAGTCTAAATTTGCAGCCATTTGTTAGGGAAAACCGCAAGGCTTGATTTCGTGCAAGGAATGGAGCTTATGGCCTCATTCTGGTTGTAATTTCTAGGGAAAATTGGATCCAGAAGACACACACGGGGCCTGTAGTGCTTAGATTTCGTGCAAGGAATTAGTTGACCCATTGGACCGACTAAAGCCAGTCGCCCGATTTTACTCTCCGTTCTCTGGGTTCTGGCAAATCTTCTTCGACCTCTTACTCTGCTCGGACAAAACTCTCTTCACCGTTTATTACTTATTTGCTGGATTGGCGAGCCTATTTGACTTTGTAGTTTGTCTATCCATTCTCCTAGTTCTTTTTTGTCTAGTTATTATAAGAGTAACAAAAAAAGCACCACTGTTTTGTCTAAAAAGGGTCCAAAGCATAGATAATATACTAAATGCAAGCACGTACTTAGATGTTATCTCTAGTTCCCTACACCATTTCTAGAGGCAGCGTTAATTTTGAGGTACCGACTTCGTTTTTCTGATTTCAAGAGACTTGGCAGTCTTGCTGTATATGATTTTTCGATTGCAAAAGCAGATGAAATAATAATGATCTCAATTATCACCTTATATGTCTAAGTTCGTCTCCTATTTATATAATCCTCTTATGCTATGACGAGGAACAGAAAAGGCAGTATATGAATGAATGAATCCGGTGGTGATTTTGCTGAGGTAAGGATGGACGTTGAGTGACCATAAAACCAAAAAACACAGCTAGCATCGACGGATCGCATTGAAGGGTGCAAGTGAACAAAGGCCCTTGGGCCCCTTGACTCTTCCTGAATGCACTGAGGAGGAAAGGGATTTGCCGATCTTGGGGTACTTCCTGAGAGTACTCGAACACTGTGACACCCATTTTTGTGGAAACCGGAAAATGAAGATTGTCATACAGAATGATTGAACACAATTTGTTTGATAGCACGAGGCATGTGTTACCAATGCATGGCTCACGTCGATACGTGGCTTAATCTACATCAGTCTCTCAATTAATTTGATCATTCTCTGTCGTTGCATTCGCAATTGCATAAAATCTAATCCGTGTATGTTTTGTTGATTTCTATCAAATTCTCACAATTCAAAGACAATTTGTAGTTAGACCGGAGAGATGCCACACTCTTTATGGTAACTTGTGCTGTAGGAGATAATTAACATCCCAACCAGTACGATCAAATCAAAGACCATTTCATTGGTTATATAATTAGCCAGGACGAGTGGGATTTATGCCATGGTGATCAAATAACTCAAGCCTCTTTTAACAATAAATTCTTCCACTATATATTACCCGAAAATGTGAGACCCCATCGTACCATCATCCCCTACGTAAAGCCGCCATACCCGTTGTTGGCCTGTTGTGTGTGTCGGGGCCCCATTAGAGACTAGTGATAAATATTGCTGCTACTACCTCCTACATCTCATAAAAAATTCTGGACGAGACCATCACCCTGTCTATAGCCCAGAACATCACCCTGTCTATAAATCGTTCATCGCATTCTTCCTGGCAAAAAGTAGCATACTCATTGCGCCCAAGACCAAAAAGAATCTCTATATTGCATCCAACTCTTAATCACCAGTTACTCTCCCATATGGCATCTCTACCCTCGTTTTTCTTCTTATCTAGGAGTACTTCATTTTCTTTTTTCATCCTTTTCTTGTTTTTCCCCATGCATGCGCGTAAGTCTAATGCTCGCAGCTTCAGGGTCATCACCAATGCTGCTTCTCTCAAGGAATTTCTTGATTGCAAGGTTTGCACTCGACATACTTCTTAGTTTCAACTGTGTTTATGGTGGAAGTTTAACGATGCAATAGATAAGTTAGTTAGTAGTAGTAGTAGTAGTAGGATTCATCATCATTATTATTACTGCTATTATTATTATTTTTCCCCAAGGTGAAAGAAATCGAGCTCAGGAAGGATTCTTTTGAACAAGAAGCAAATGCAATTGGACGCCAACATAGCATGCCGTCTGGTAGGATCCCAGACCGCTTTGATCCAATATTTGGTTCAAAGGCGGTGAAGGAAAAAGATGAGGATCCAAGATGGAAATCAGGTGTCACTCCAACATTTAAGTCCATTTTACGATCGGCTTATGATTCTTCTGGGCACAAGATTAACCACGACAAACATCCTGGATTCTTTTACTCCGATTATTCCCAACCGCGCACTCGCCCTCCCTCTCATAATTGATCATTTACATTAGCCTCTGTTTCCTCCAGGCCCTCACAATTTTTCTCCCTCTTTTTTTTTTTTTACGGACATTTTCAAACTCTTGCCACTGTGCTTGAAAAGATTGGAGTAGTAGTCTAAGCAGTACAAATAAGAAATTTCACCTTGTACTTATCAATCTATTAATGTTTTGTATTTTATTGATTCGTTTTGACTAAATATTGATCTTCTTTTGAGAATTGCGGTAGTCTGCACCACTACTATTACTATTCATTATATCAATGGAGTATGTCACGCAGGAAGAAAGGTTGTTGAGTCTTCTTGTCGCATGAATTTCCTCGAGGCAACAAAAACAGAGGTACTTAAGCTGAAAAGTACTGGTCTTCAAATTTCATTCGAGGGTTTTTTATTGTGAATTTTGATTTGTAAATGTTATCATGTCTAAGATGATCATGACAATTTAATGCACACAATTCCAGTCCCAGAATTAAGACATGAGAGTACAAACCCCTTTACAAGCATTTACATTTTGGCAAGGTTTCATGAAGATAATTATATATATTTACGAGTACATGTTTTCGGGGTAGAGGTGCTTTTACTGTCACTTAATGCTTCTTCACAATATAAAAAACAGGTAATTTCTAGTATGTTTTAAACAGATCCTCCCTGCCAAAATTTGGCCGAACTACTTTTTCCATCATCAAAGGATGTAACAGGAATGAGTGGATGGAGAACTTGAACAATACTCGTATCTTTAAGCTAAAAAGTTGCAACAAAAAACCTGTTTTATTCAACAAATTCAGAAAAAGCAAATCAGACGATTCTCTACACATGTATATCCATTCACGCAACAGTAATAAACTAGAAAAGTGAAACTCAAAAGTAAGAGAAAAATAAGACCCTACAAAGGAAAAATAGCACAGTAGTAGTAAAAAAGCACATATGATATTTGTAAAATGTAGTGTTTATGCAGGTTTCAAGAGGGTCAGCAGCTGAGCAAGACATGACATTGGAGGCCATCGGTTCCCATGACATTATAAAGACGGACGACTACCAGCGACAACACCGTGACTCTCCTATTCACAACAAATAATAGGAATTTCTTTGTTGTTTTCTGCTACGTACTAGTGTTTTGTCAGTTAAAATAAGAATGACTAGTTTCTTTCCTTGCTTCTTTTGCTTCTGTTTTGGAGTTCAGTTGGAAGAAAACAAATGTGTCACTGTATCCTGTAAAAGCATGCACATGCAATGCACGTACTAGAGAGAGACGAGAATAAGTGGTAATTACTCATATGAAGTTGCTGGTCTTAATTTGATCAATAGTCACCAACTTAATTTGATCATTTCGTCATAAAAGTTGTTCTGCACTCTATATTCGGACTTTCAGGTCCCTTTTGACATAGTTTTTGGATTTTAAAGGAATCTTTTTGACAATTTTAAGCAACCTATGTGAAATAGTCTGAAATAAAAGAAACACCACATAAGAACATTCCGGTGAGCTTTCTAGTATACTTTTCATCAGAATTTTAAAGTGAGTATTCGAGTCAAAGAATTCTTCATAGCAAGAAAAGCATTCAGTTAAAAGGGCACTTGAGAGGAATCCTGTGCAGATGAAAAAAATAAGAATACTTTCCCAGAAGGTGGAACCAAGATCACAGTACCCAGATGTCACCAACCTGATTATTATAAACAATAAAACTCAACCAATTCGGCTTTATGGGCATTAGACGCTGATGTGACTCCGGTTGCTTGAATATTAGTTTAAAACATAAGGATTACCTATAGTAGTGATCCACTAATTACGTGGTTACGCGCCCATGCAGATACAAAAACAGGAATCAAATAAGGATGGCCCAACCCCGCCCCCCCCCCCCCCCCCCCATTCCTCCGCGGGTGCTCCGTGTAATTAATAAAAATTTGTTATATAATTTTATTATAGTTAAATTTTACCAAATAATTAAATACTAAAATATCAACACATCACCAAATTATTATTTATTGCAATTTTACAATTGAAACTTATAAAAACAATCAAACAAAAGTTATTTGAATACAATCTAACATAATGAAATAAATACAACTAAAGTAGTCAAGTTTTCACTTTTGACACTAATACAATCACTAATTCATTATTGTGCTTGTGCTTTTTTTTGAGAAAAAAATGTTATTGTATTAAGTGTGATTAGGGACTTAGTATAAATGTATTAGTAAATTTAGTATAACCAATTAATAATCTGTATTAGTACATATATATAATTATTAGTATAATTGATAAATCAATTATATTACATATACTAATATACATTATATAATACATATAACTAATAATATCATTACTATAAGTTTGTAACTAATTAAATTATATATTATATATATATAATTATATACATACATATATTTATTTTATATATTTATTACTCCCGCACCCGCCCTAACCCCTGCCCCATTAGCCCCCTGTGGGGCGGGTGTCCGCGGCCACCCATCCCATTGCCATCTTAGAATCAATCAATCCAAGAATTTCCAGGAGGATAGGATTCCCACAAGCAACAGTGTTCAATTTCCTGAAATTTGGGGGTAATAAGCATGGCATACTAGATCAGACCGTCAGTTTACCTCAGCGAATTAAACTTGACATTAATTATCTGTGAGAAAGAAGATGCCCTTCACATTCACTACCAGACCCGTCAGTTCTTTTGAGTATCCTATCTAGGGGGCGTTGCAATTTACTGGTGGAATTAGTTTAATGTACTCTTTTTTTTTTTTTTTTGTAGTTCAGAGACGTTGTTGGATCAACCAAGAAACTTACACTTGTATGTTATTTTCTTCTGGGTCAGTATTAATAAACTTTTTACAAAAATAAAAATTCGAGGACGTTCCCTCGTCCATGCATGTTCGTAGGAGACAAATGCTTCGTGCCAAAATTAATTCCCATCTTGTTTACTATAAACTCGGCAGCTTTGCCATGTTAGGATCCCATCATGTTCCGGTATTAACAGTCTTCTCGGCGGCTCATTCCAATTAATCTATTACATAATCCAAATTAATGAAGATATCAAGCCATTTGAGCTATTTCTGAAAAAAAAAATGTTATTCCATCTAAAAGAACTTAGGAAAACAAATTGCGGATTTTTCATTCGTTATCAGACCAGAGCAAATTGATGGATTAATAAAGTTCGCTAGATATGTAAGTCAACAATAATTCGCAAAGACAACAGGAGGATGGACCTATAATTATAAACTTGTGACTTGCGTACTAGTGTACGTTCACTCTCGCCCCTAGAGTCTAGACTGTGCCTTCACGTACCATCTATATATTCTGTAATCGTGTCTGGTTACAAAATTACATTTGCTTTTTAGGTAATAATTATCACAGGGCAAATTTTGAAACTTCAACTCAAGAAGGATTTACTGGTGATGATAATGATGTCCAGTTTCTTTGATTGTACATACCCGTGCTGAGACCATGAAAGCAGGCGAATTAGGTATTTGGGACTCGAATTGATCAGCCAATTAACAGTTTTAAGAACCCAGATTGCTAGTATCGTTTGGCAACAGCTAATTTAGGTGCATGTATAATGATCGGTAGTAAGCTAGGTGTGGAATGATCAGACACCTCCAGAAAATTATGGCTAGCCTTGAAACAAGTGCATTGTTCATGACGCTTCGAAATGACTGGCTTTGATCTTCAAGAATGCACCAAAAAGCTCAATCTTACACACACACACACACAGAGGTATATAAAAGCACACGTTTTCATTATATGTGTTACATTAAAAGTATTGCAGAATGTGATGCACAAAAAGTATAGCAGTTTTTCCAACCTTTGCATAATTCATACACAAAACAAGCACGACGAATACACTCACGCGAAAGGTGCACAAATCACCAATTGAAGAGAACGAACTAAGAGCTGGAGACAATCTGGAGACGAAGAGTAAAAAGCCAGAAATAGTTTGCACGCATGCATGGGCTAAGGGCAGATGAAGCCGTTAGGAGGGTTTCTACCACAATTGTTGAGAACGAGACTGAGAGTAACTGGAAGGCTTAGATTGATCCCCAGTATATTTGCTCGAATGGCGGTGCAAAGGCAAAGCGCTGCCTCAAGGTCTGCTAGGCCTTGAAGCAAGCTGCAGCACGGGAGCGTAGGAGGAGCGCCGATGGAGACTCTAATCAACCCAAGTACGTTTGCACATACACCCAGTTTTAGAGCATCTCTGGGGCACCTTGCTGCGGATCCTCCTCCGCCGCCCGTTCCACCGCCACCTCCGCCGCCCGTTCCACCGCCACCGCCACCCCCGCCCCCCGTTCCACCGCCTCCCCCGCCCCCCATTCCACCGCCCCCCGTTCCACCGCCACCTCTTCCACCGCCATTCCCGCCGCCCCTTCCACCGCCGCCCGTTCCACCTGGGCTTGGGTTGCCGCAAGTGCCACAAGAATGTGAGGCGGTGAGTAGAGTGAAGAAGAGAAGGTTGATGAGGAGAAAGGTTGCGGATGAGGAGAATGTTGGTGTTTTGGATGCCATGAATTTTCTCAAAAGAATTGGATAGGATATTTTTTTAAGATGTTTTGTGCTAAGTTAATTGGATGATTTTGGGAATGCGCTTGTAGGATAGGGTATTTATACTTGAAAATTTTAGGTATTTTCAGTTAAAAAATGATGCTAACAATGACGAGAAATTATTATTGTTTTCTTGCTGGACTGAATGAGAGTTAGAGTGGAAATTGGCTGAGAGTCACAATAGGACGACCATAAAGTTTTGCAATTTAATTAATTATCACAATATTATATGAGCATTAGAGTACGATTAAATTTTTCAGTGTCGAAAATACGACGACCATAAATAAAGCAGTGCACCAACAGTCATTATAAAAAGCGGATTTACTTTTCTCTTCAATTCAAACACTTTTTCATTCTCTTCATGAATTCAATCAATTCATAGATTCCATCGTGAAATGATGGACTTTGAAGATACACGCTAGCTATTCCTATTCTGCGGGGAGAGTATCAAACAATTTGCAAGACTGATGCAAGCAAATAAGTTCCGCGTTTGTTTTACTCCCAAATCAAGAAATGAAGCAGATTGTATTTGCAATACCATGAATGAATTTGTAACTTTTGCCTTCAAATACTTATTAATGTTCTTTCTTTTTTAGAATAAAAGTTTGATTGAACTCGATTTCGCTCGCTATCACGAGTCATAACATGTTTTCAAAATCATAAATCGCACAACTCTCACAATAACGAAATTCGAATACACAACTTTTAATAATAAAGTAATCAATTCTTATTAACTGAATCAACTTGTATTAGCACATATGAAATGTTTAGTGGAACAATAAAAGGGTCGTTTCTATCTATCTCCTTCTTAGTGTTAAAAACAGAAAAAAAAAAAAAAAAAAGTAGTTATTTGGGAGCCGGTTAAGTTCTTGGACCTAATCTACGTCCTTGTGAAAATCAAGATCAACTATTGTGAGATCTAACTAATCAATAGTGATCAATGGCAACGTTGGGCACTGTTACTAATTGATCAAATCCTAGCTTATGCGGTACATCACATTGGCCAGTAAACCTACCACACTCAATCAATCACTCACAAGGCCAATAAGTGGGTAGTTATCGGAAAATATCTTACATTATTTGCAATAATGTCTTCATAGTGCGACTTTGAAGGTCTAAACGCGGTTGTCAATTGAAATTTGATTGGACATCGCATAAAAACAATTCTATCGCGTACAAATCCCGTGAGGTTCCATGTCCTTTTGCCTGCATGTTCAAAATACACGTGAATATTAGGTATCATTTACTGTTAACTTTAAGTTTATAATTTTTTTTTGGAAAATGGCACTCCTTGAAAAATCTACTAGAAGCTTGTTTTAGGAGTGCTAATCTATTATTTAAAGCCTCAATCATTTAAGAGCCTGAGAAAAATGGCAAATAAGGCTTCGCTGTACACTGACAATTTCCTTCGAGTATTAAATTTTGATGTAAATTGTAGGGTTAATAAAGCTTTGCCCCCGAATCTATAGGGTAGTAACACTTTACCACCTTGAGTTTCAAAAAATATACATTTTTCCCCCTCAATTGAATTATATTTGTACTCTTAATTTTGACAAATCCATGTGCATATGTTTCTTTCCAAAATATCCCTAACCTTCCTAATTTTTCAATGATTAAATCTTAAGTTGTTGTATTTTCTTATTATATATTCATCAAAATATTCTGCTACTGCATGATGTGATGTTCAACAATGGTTTATTAACTTATTATATAGATTTGTATGTAATTTAGCATCAATTAAAATGGGGTTAAATTCCTCGCCTTAGTTCCTATCTTTTATGTAATATAGTATAGCACTAATATATATATATGTATATATTGTAATTTAAAATAAATAATATGGTGTTTTATTGTAATAAAATAATGTGTCCTTTCTTGGCAATCGATTATGTTTGTTGTAAAAGTATGATTTTATTATGTCAATTTACTTGAATTTTTATTTATCACATGTCATATATTGTTTGTAAAAGAATCAACGGGTTTTGATTTAGATTCTACATAGTATCAAATGTGAAAAAAAGTGAATTCAAAAACCAAATTAATTTTCATGATTTAACATTGAATTTTTGGCTAATTCAAAAGATTGATAATTATGATTTTTATTGACGTTATATATATATATTTAAAAAATTAGGTCAAATAAAGAATAGTAGTGGTCGTCACAAGAGCACCCGCAAGGCAGTGGGATAGGGTAAGGATAAGGCTGCGGGAGGAAGAGTCTTTTATATTTAATTTACACCGTATTCAACATCATAGAAAGCACTGACAGAATATTATATTGAATACATAAGAAGAAAATGCAACAATCTAAAAGTTGATCATTGAGAAACTAGGAAATTTGGGGGTAATTTCAAATGAAAAATATGTACATAGGTTGTTCAAAATTAAAACTATAAATATAATTCATTCGAGGGGAAAAATATATATTTTTAAATATCATGGTGGCAAAGTGTTACCACCCTATAGGTTTGGGGGGCAAAGTATTATTAAAGCCTCGGTTCAAAGAAATTCCACACTTCTTCAATTCCATTTTGATAGTCTTGTTTTCATTTTTCATCTGCCTCGAATTATAGTTCACCTTCCATTTGACGAATGTAGTTATATTTTAATTTTTTTAAAATACTCTTATTTATTATACATCGTTAGCAGTAAATATAGCATAACTTATTTAATACAGTTAACTTTTTAACTGATAATTGTTTTGATAGATGTCTTGATTGATGTAATATACTATCATTAATTAATGTACAAGTATAGTGATTAATGATGTTCCTAATATTAATGTAAAGATATTTTAGAAAAACATTAGGTTATATTTATTTGTCAATAAATTTAATTAATTTTTCTTAAATTGAGTGAGAAAAAAAATCAAGATTATCAAAAGCACGACGCAGTGAGTACTCGTACTTTAGAGAATTGGAAAGAAGAACAACGGTATTTTGACATTTGACCTACTTGAGAGTATTGGAAAGAACAGCAACGGTATTTTGACATTTGACCTCTTCTGATTCCGACGGAGCTTGATTTCGACCATTAATAAGCACGCCCAATTTTTTTAAAAAAAACAAGGAACGGGAATCAATCATGTATCTGTTGGGCCACTTGACATTATGCTCAGTTTGAGCCCATTTGGGGTTTCTGTCAAGCCCGTAAGATTGAGATACAAAATCAGTTCAGATTATGATATTTCAGGTGGGAATTTTTTTGTTTCCACATGTGGATATTTAGCCGAAAAATGCCCGCATGGGCTTGGGGCCCGAAGAAACGTTCACAAGGACCCAAGATTCTGTAATCCCCAGAGTTTAACTCAACCGCCACAACTGCAAATGAAAAACCGTCACGTACATTAAAATCGAAAAAAAAGCACCCTGCAGGGTTACTTACTTGTTGAAAAAGTACCAGTAACTGCAAATAATACGTCGATGGTAAGCCAAATCTATACTAGAAGATGACGAAGCGATACAAAATACTGCGCAAGAAATTGAAAGAACTCAAGGCAGAACTCATCTACGTCTTCTCTATCCCAGAAGAGAAGAACCCATACCATCAATTGCTGTCCGAAGAGATTGAGCAACGTTTTTGTTCCTAAAGAAGCTTTTATCAGCCGAGATTGCATCAAATCCCTCGAAGCCTCATCACTTGCAACACATTGCCCAAAGGCTCAACGAGTTGGAGACCGCGTTTCGCGAGTGGGATGATCATAGAAGAACTTCTGCTGATGTTAACAACTTTGATGATTCCGCGTCCATATGTTCGTGCGATGAATCCTGTCGAAACGACGATGGAGAGGCTTACGACAACAATATTAATGACGTAGTGACAGTGCCTGACTTGGATTCAAGGGGAGAGGGATTGAGTTTTTCGGAGGGGCTTGTGGATGTAAATGTGGAAGAACAAGACTCGGAGAAGAAAATTGAGGCTGATGCTGATGAAGGGGGTATGACCACGAAGCAAGACAAAGGCTCAAGTTATTGTGGAGGGATCTTAGGTGGGATGATATTTGGTGGGGTCTTGACGGCTCTGATTATGTCGGGGTTTTGTTCAGGTTGTTTTTATTTTGCCGTCCATGAATCTTTTCTTATTCCCACTTAGCTGCTCTTAATCTTGCCAAAACTTATTTCAATCTGTTCTTTTCTATCTTCTCTGTTTTCCTTTTTTCCCCCCTCGTTGAAGCAGTTGTAGTAGTATTTCAATTCCCCCCCCCCCCCCCCGGTGTTATGCGTAATCTATATATAATTCCAACTGGTTCATTTTATGGACATGGGCGCGCATCCTTGTGCCCTTGAAATATATTGTACATTGTAGCCTAGATGATAACCTCCAACTGTTTACGACATATGAATGCTAAGAGACTTTTGTTCTCTGTTTTTTCTTTCCGTGTGAAAAGAGTTTGTTCTCTGCCAAAACTAAAGGAATGATTAAGTTTGATTCCTTGAAGATACTTCAGTGATCTAATATTCTTACAACTGATCTTTTATTTGCTGAAGATTTTAAAAGGGATTGCTACTCTTAATTTAAAAAAAAAAAAATCTCTCATTCAATGGGACACAATTACCTCAATCAGGACGATATCAGAAGCCAAAATGATCTGCCCATTTGATTTCCAGATACAAAGATTGCAAGAGAAAGATCTTGATCCCCCTCGCTAAATATGACTGAAGCTTGATTAATTCTTTCACTACACACAGCAAATTTGGTTGGACTCATCCCACCTATTTGTACTTCTAGATGTGCATTTTCACTTTGTGGCTTTATTACAGATTCCAATCTACATGGCCATAATGGTCATCCACGGTTTTTGTTCCATACTACTATTTGAATACGATTCAAAATAAAATTTTGGTCACTAGATTAGCAAGTTGTTTTACAACTGTTCATCATGGTTTTAAACTCTAGAACTCGTGGCCTTCCTTGTCATTTCAGTGCCTGTTCTTGGTGATGCTCTGTTCAGTCTGATTTAGTTTTAATGGGTTGTTTTGATTATTGGTCATGAATGGATGAGTTCTTATGGATTATTTTGATATATGGTAATATACATCTAGTTCTTGTTA